AAAAAAAATGAGCAGCATGAAGAAATACTGACTTTACAGCTGTTAAATACCCATACAAAATATGACTGAAATCACTGACCAACATGGATGCCTGGCTTTATCGAAATTCCTTCTATAATGAGCCAAAGTCCAACCCCACAATCTGTTCTCCCACCTGGTAAAGCAGTGTATCCAACATGCTGATACTGAACACCCTGCCTGCAGCAAACGGCAGCCGGAACATGAAGGCCAGGTTGGAGCCCTTATCACGCTCTATCTGAAAAAAGTAACAAAACAAGCCCTGAGAGACAGAAACAAGATGTTCGGATCTCATTTTCACCTCTGTGCTTGCTGAGCTACTGCTCTTCAAAAAGACCCAGGTGGAAAAGGTTAAGCTGGTTGACATCTGTTTTTAAAGGCTTGTGAAGGTAAAAGCTATCACTGGAGGTCGGAAAAGTAGTACTATAATCAAAATACTACTAAAACTCATGAGCTGTGGTTGGTGTGTTTTGTGGAAAGTGAAATAGCTCCAAAAGCCCCTTTGTACTCCCCTCCGGCTGAAGCTAGAGATTTTATATTCAGTAGTACATTTACTACTGAAACAAAACATTTAACAATCTTAGTGTGATTTTTGTGACATGTTTCACATTCAAATATAAGTAACCAGTGAGATGCTGCTACAGATTATTCCTCTGTAACCCAGCTCTGATTTGTCTTTTGAAAACATTGATGGATCACAGAGTCTCATACTTGTCACTTTCAGTCAAAACAGAATAAAAATGCAAGTCAAAGCCAGAGTGTGGATCCTTGCTCCTGGACCACTCACCTTCTCGAGTCTGGACAGAGCGAGTGAGTAGCAGTCTTTGGCTCTGAACTGCATGAACCTCATGTTGGACGGGTGCGTGAGCTCAGTGATGATGCTGAGACTGGGGAACAACCTGAGCCGGGGATTGGAGAGAAAGATGTTAGTGACAAACTGAAATGCTTTGTGCTGAAGGGAAGACCTGCTGTGCAAGTGCTGAATGCATTTAATCTTAGCTGTTAAATAAAAGGTTAAGTTCAAAGCTTTCAGACCTGTAGTTTGTTTTTCAGATGAACTCTTTATTCTGGCAAACTCCAAAAAAACAAGCATTTACTATCAGATGAAGAAGTTCATCACATGGAGTAACACACATTTGATGCAAAACCTGAAGGTTCAGTTCAGACATACACAGCTGTTTATTGTATATATCTACACAATAAAGAACTCTTTCTGTTACCTGAACATAGTCTGAACATTGACGATGGTCTTGGCGTCTGCCATGTAGTCCTCCTCAGCACTCATGGTGCTCTCCTTGTCCACAACCACCAAGTTGTCAGCGTAGATTATACCACACTGCAACAGGTTGTCCAAGCTGGTCAAATAAAAACAAGTGTATATTACTAAATTACATGTGTGTAAATATCTCCCCAAGGACATTATAACAGTGGTGTAACATCGGTCTGTAATGTTCATAGTACTCCATGAATTATTTGAGAGTATAGTTTCCCAAAACCTGGATCATTTACTTAAAACTCATTTCCAAGAAGTAGTAACCACAGAACCTGCTTGTATTTTGAAACTTGTCCTAGATATTGGTTTCTACCAAGTGGAGACCTATGCACCATAAAAACTAGTTCTTACATGGATGTTAATTTCTTACTAGATATTTACAGCCACATTCTGCCAAATGTAACTGTTGCACAGCTCACTGAATTATATGACAGAGCTAATGTTAGCTTGCTAATACGGGTCATTTAGATGAGAGAGTGAAATACTGTCAAATATGGTCTGAGCTGATCAATAATAATAATAAAAAAAATCCATCCAAACAAGTTCACCACCAAAAACACCATTGTACCATTTTTATTCTGTCCCAGAAACTTATGTTTTTTT